CAGCAGACGCCTCCATGTGGGTGGTTGTCAAAATTATGGTCCCTTTTTAACCCTAAACCTTAAACCCGTGCTATCATAATAATGTTAGGGACCCAAAGAGGGACCATAATTTTGACAACCACCCATGTACTGTAGCAGTCTGAGGTGAGCTTTGCCACGCCGTGCGTGGGTATCGAGTACAATTTCGGACTGGTCTTTTGGGATCAACATCGCTGATAGCAAAAAGAGTTGCGTTCAGATGGAACCATGCTCCTCCACGCCCCCCCTAAAGTTCCTGCGCAAGATGCTCTGTGCTGATTTTTGTTTCGGAATTGCTAGACACACGCGCGAGGATCCGGCAGATGTGAGATTTGGACCAGACCGGAAGGCATTGGGGCCACTGCGACGCTGGGCAACTACACCTGTCTTCGGTATTTGCCGAACGCTGGGGCCCCAAAGTTGTCCAGATATGCTGCCATGGCACTCAGCATTTAATTCCTTGCTATTTGTTTGCAAGCATTGTGGAGCCCCTGTCTCGAATGCAACTTGCAACAGCTCTTTTCATGCTTCAGCCCGGGGAGAGGCACCAACCACAACCACTACGGCAACAACCACAATAGATCCGGAGCTTGAGCTGCAGAAAACGTTTGTATGGCATGGCCTCCTTATGCCTTTGGTTGTGGAAAGCTCCGTTTTGAGTCCAAGGCACTCTTCCGAGGCCTCGAAGGAGATGGTTCCAATCAGGTGCCACATCATCGCTAGCCATAGTTTAACATGAAAGACGTCAGGGCAGACAAGACATGAGAAGCAATGCACAGGAGTTGCCTGGGAGAAAGTAGCACAAAAGACGTGACCAGGTGTGCCGAGGATCAGGCCCAGGAAACCCGGCTGCAAAAGTGCTGCAAAGCTTTCCCAACATATGCGCAGCAAGCAATTGTTTCCTGGGCACTCCGCAGGGTGGTAGCTGTGCACCTCAAGCTGCATACCACCATGCTTCAAGAAAGCCTCAGGCGACAACCTGGCTGAGTACTTCACGGTTGTATCCGGTGTGAGCTCTCTGTCAGCCTGCCAGGCATCCTACCGTGAATGAATGCTGTCTTCAGCTTCGGCCGGTTTCAGCCACGTAAACGCTACTACAAGTGATAGGGTGACCTCAACAGAGACCCCCAAAATACTGTAGCCCTTATTATGGGGACCCCAAAAAGGTACCCCTAATCTTGAGAACCCCCCGAGTAGCAAACGCTGGAAAGCTGCAGACTCATAGTAGTTTCCATTTTCCATTCTCTCCATATAACCCCAATATATAAGAGTAGTTTCCATTTCATTCTCCATTAGCCCTAGAACACCCTAATATATAATAGTAGTTTCCATTTTATTTTCCATTATCCCTAGAAAATCCCAATATATATAATAGTAGTTTCCATTTTCCATTCTCTCCATATAACCCCAATATATAATAGTAGTTTCCATTTTATTTTCCATTATCCCTAGAACACACCTAATACATAATAGTAGTTTCCATTTTATTTTCCATTATCCCTAGAACGCCCCGATATATATATAATAGTAGTTTCCATTTTATTTTCCATTTCCTAATATAACTCCCCAGGGGCTGAGGCCACGTAGTGCCCAACTCTGCGACATTTGCCTTGACGAGGCGGAGTGCCTAGCAATGTCCTCTACTTGCTCCTTGGGCTGCACTGCCTTGCAAACAGTAAAGCCACAGAATACAGTAGAAGGTCTGAGGCTGACCCATGCATCTGACCAAACTTTGAAGACTTTTTAGGGTTTAGGGTTTCGGGTTTAGACTTTTCCTCGCTTTTCAGGCAAGGGCATCGAATTCAACGAGGGCGCCCGCCGATGCGAAGTCTGGACGCAGGGCTGCAACCCACGGCTCAGCTTCAGACAACAGAACAGGGCCCTGTTCACAGTGGACCCTTTTGTTTTGGGATTCATCCACCCACCGCCTGCACCAGTCCATATCATTGCTAAGGACTCGGCCGGAAGGGATCGAGGCCACCATCGCGTCTGAAGGAGCCTTGCTCAAAGTCGCACCCGGGAAGGGGTTTGGGGGGTGCTTGGAGTATGTGCTTGAATACAGACAGCGGAGCATGTCTATTGGGTTCACAAGTGGTGCCTTATCAAATGAGAATTCAGTTTCATGCTATCGATGCCTTGCGCAGGCTACAGCTGCCTTGTGTACGTCCCGAGCATCGCGACAACAACTTCCACGACTGTGGATCCGTCACTATTCCAGCCAGTTCTCGGCGATGGCACAGACCAGGTCCTTGGAATTCTATGAACCTCTGCCAAGCCAAGCCCGAATCTGTAAAGTCCCGTGGCACCACTTGCAGCTGGACCAGCGCAGGTTTGCCGTGGGGCCAACGCGGGCGACAACCTTGGATCCTTGGCAAGATGCTAGCGACCCTTGCTTTGAGGGCAGTCGTGACTGAAGCAGCCAGAAAGACCCCACATGATGTTTGACTACGATGCCGGATTCAGCGCATTTCTGTCAGCAGAAGACTAGAAGAGTTTTTCCAGCATAATTAGACCTGTTGTAGATGCAGTTCTTTCCTCCGCGAGCATCGGCAACGTCTGCGCAAATAGGAACACCCGGCCAGCTTGAACCTATGATCACGGTTGACCCGCCACGACAATGCAATCCATGTCCATTTAGGCTGAAGCTCATCAGCAAGTGTGTGAGGCTCTTACTTCACAGTGCTCTATTCCATGAGCTCCATCGAGGAGTGCAAGGCTGCCTGCGTGACATCGGCTGACTGCAAGGGGACGCTTGGCAGCTTCAGGATAACACCAAAGGCATGAGAGCCTATGGGCACGATTCGGAATTTGAGTCTGGCCAAACGGCACCTGGATATTGCTGTGGTGGACTTGGAGTAGAGATCTGCCGTTTAGAGACGTGCAGCGCGCTGCACTTGGGACTGACGCTTCGGTGGGAATCGCAGGTCTTTCCTGGCAGCAGCTTAGGATAGAGTACCACACGAGTGGACGATGTCTGAACCTTGGAGGGATGGGAACGCTTCAAGCTCATTGCTTGCTTGGTATATTGGGGATATATTGGGATAATGGAAACTGAAATGGAAACTACTATAGAGTATATTAGGGTTTAGGTTCAGGCACTAGGGATATTGGGGTCATATTGGGATAATGGACAAGAAAATGGGAACTACATGGAACTACTATTATATTATATTGCATATTGGGGTTGTAGGGGTAACGGAAAAGAAAACAGAAACTACTGCCAAGGTGAAATCTGGACGAGGCAAGGTGGCATCGGCACAACCATGACGCTGGCGGGCTATACATGCCTACGCTACGACGCCTGGCATCACACCTTAGCCTTACCCTGACCTCGTTTCATTCCTTCGAAGATTTTCAATATTATAATAGGATTATATTGGGGTTATATAGGGATTATCGGGTATATATTGAGCTAATATTGGGAGAATGGAAAAGAAAACGGAAACTACTATAGTATATTTGGTGTCCCGGAAAGATGTTGACACATCCGGACAGATGTTGACGCATAGAAATCTGGACCATCTTAGTGCATGTTGTATCTGATCTACTTGTGTTCGGGCTATCTGATAACCGCTACAGCAGGGCCGCTAGGATCCGCTAGGGCTATCCTGACACTGACTCCTAGATGAGGTGCCTTCGTTGACATGATGAGCATTTTCGAGTTGAATTCGGTGTCCACGGGCCAGTGTTACTTCACTTAACATCGGTGCCCAAAGAATGTTGAATGTATGGTCCTTGGATGCGCAGCAAGCAGGTTTGGCTTGAGCTTTTGACTCAGAGGCGACAGAAGTATGTGAAGATATAGCAGCATGCAATATGAATAAGTAGCGTCATGGCATGTCATAGCGATGACGGGTAGCTCTCAAGTACATCTGAGTGAAGAGCTGGAGCTGGCCAATTACAGATCTTGTATAGCTGCTTTGCCTGGATGCTTTCGAGTGCGAACTCTGTCCACTTGGTTCAGCTTGCGTGAGCGGCACCCTCGAGGGGCATGAGGCGATGCATCGCAATTCAGGTGCGGGCTGCAACGATACATCCGACACTAACCCCTATAGTCCCTATAATATAACCCATTGTAGTAGTTCCATTTTATTTTTGATTATTCCGATATTATCCCCTATAATATGACTCCCAGCTTAGAGGCCCAGTCTGCAAACGAGCTGAAGAACATAGGGGTGTCGGTACAGCTCCGTCGCCTTGGCTAGATCTTGCTGCTCGCAAAGCATGCGGGGAGGAAGGGGAGGATTCAAGCTGATCCTTGCACAAGACTCAAGCATGCAGCAGCGGAAGCGGGGGCGCAGCAGTGAATGTTGATGCCGCTGCGCACCCTTATCCGCCAGCCTTTCCCTTTTTTTCTGTCTAGACGCGGCGCGCGCCGCATTTGGCCCTCAACAAGAGGTGTGGATCAGCCACAAGCCAAGCTGCACCCTCTGCCGTTGACCGACCAGGCCTCCTTAACATCATGGAAGTCCATGCAACTGAAGAGTCCGGATTGACGCGTTTGAGAAGCACCGGCTATAGCAGGTAGAGTGTTCTGTTTGGTAGCGAGCAAAGGCAGTCTTTGTGAGTTCAACACATTCAACAGTTATTAATTGTCTTGGGGAAACCATTTTAATTACTATATATACCCGTTATGGTAGCTTGTGGCCACAACTCAAGGCTTCCGGCTCCTGGCTACTGCCAGAATGTACGGGTTATATAGGGACAATGGAAAAGAACATGGAAACTACAATTCAGGGTTTAATTAGGGTTTGGGGTTAGGGGTTGTAGGTCGTCTCTGAGAATTTCTTGTCAAACCACAGTTGAGGTCAATTGCAAACGATTGCTGTATAGCTCTTTTGGCAAGAAGCACTTGCTTTGCCATTTGTTCTCACCGTATGCCGTAGATCACTTGCAAGCGGCGGTTGGTGACAACAGATACCGGCAAAAAGCAGTAGCTAGGTCGTGGCGGAGTGAAGTTGAAACGTCCATCAGCTCTGAAGGAGGACGACGAGCTCTTGGTGATCAACGCCTGGCACCGTGAGGTCCGTGCCTGCAGCGCAGTTCTGCGGTGCGAATTAGATATATCAACTATTAACACAAAATTCAACATAGGTTTCTGGTACGAGCCAATGTCCTTGGCAGGAGGCAGACTCCGAAAGCCAGGATCTGCCAAAGGATTCTTTGACATTGGAGCAATTGCTATGGCCAGCGCCCCAAAAAAGACATTAGGAAGTATCAGATCGGATGCTTCGCAGACGATTTCCTGGCAGGGTGGAAACCATCCGTGCGCTGGCTGATACTACTCCCTGTGCAGAGGCGCCTTCTTTTGCAGTGCTCGGATGAGTGCTTGCTGGCTTGGAAGTTTGCAAACTGTACCACTCAAGACTTGCCAGCAACAATCCAGCATCTGTTGAATTTCAAGGGTCCTGCAACGTGTAAGTAGCTTCGCTGCAATGCACAGCCTCGGCTCATGCCACTGCATGTTGAGGGCCGGCGCCCTGGGCTGAAACACGCCATTTCCAATTGCCTTGTTGTGGATAAGTGCGTTGCTCCGTGGTGGTTTCTCAGACGGTGTACACCAGCTGCATGATGGGTACACAGAGTAGTCACATCAGGATTTGGCCTGTGCGAGATCCAGACCAGAGACAGTGATTTCTTGGTCGTGATACCAGCTAATCCTCTCCACTTAAATATTAAACCCCCCACCCCCACCCCCCTAATATTAAGTACTCCCGTTATCTGGTAAAGTATAAGGTATTGTGAGTAGTTAATATTATGGGTGGGGGGGTGGCGGGCTTTAATGTTAGGCCCCAAACCCTAAACCTACAACCCTAAACCCCCAAGCCCTAAGCCCTCAACCCTCAGCCCCCAAAACCCTCAACCCTAAACCCCAAAGCCCTCAACCCTAAACCCCAAAGCCCTCAACCCTAAACCCCAAAGCCCTCAACCCTCAACCCCCAAAGCCCTTAACCCTAAACCCCAAAGCCCTCAACCCTAAACCCCAAACCCCCAAAACCCTAAACCCTAAACCCTGGGAGGGGATTATGTCAGTCATGGGCTGTCGCAGGTACCTGTGCCAGCCCTACGCCTGAAGCTGTCGGATGAAGGCCATCTTCTGGCTTGCTTTCAAAGGAATTTCAACTAAGTTACCATAATGGGTTTAGGGTTCAGGGTT